CATAAAAACAGTATTTTAATAACAACTAAAGGTGACATAGATACTTTATTATGGTATAGTATTTAAAAATATGCCTGAGAAACACATAATATTGCCCCATTTGAAATTACCCCCAAATGTCACCAAAAACAAACCCACACACGTATGCACACACATTCCAGTACAGCTATCTTTATGGGGACACTGCGTTGACTTCTATAAATTTCTACAGCCTAACCCTGACCTTTTAAACCTAACCTCACAGGTACATACTTGACCCTAAACCTAACCTCACATTTAGATTTAGATATTATTCGTTATTATTAGTCCTAAACGAAACCCCTGAGGCATTATTTTCTGCAGAAATGTTACCAGCAGTGCAGAATTAAAAGCTGAGGGGTGAGAGAAAGTTTAGTGTTTATTAAATCTTAAACTTTCTGTTTGTTCTCTGTTCCACATTCTCCATGTGGAGCTGGAGGTGCTGTCCCTCATGAGCACCTCCTGCCTCTGAGCTGACAGGGAGTCAGAGCTCGCCACTGGAATGCATTATTCATCAGGGAATCTGACTCCAAGCACTTTCTGCTTTCAGAGGAACTTTTTTCTTGTCAGGGATGGGAGAACATTTCAGATCCGTGTAACGTTTGTGTAAGAAACCCATCCTGAGTGCAGCTGAATCCAATAACATGAATTTTACAGATACTGAGCTGAGCTTCGGTGCGGTGGTACCTGACAGTCATTCAGATACTGTCATGTTTTTAGCTGCTCTGTCTGCTCTCCTGCCTCTCATGCTCATTGTCTCATCCCTCCCATCACAGAAACAGCAATCAGCCCCATTGCCCTCACCTATTTACCTATTTAAGCCTCAAGCTCTCACTCTGCCTTTGCCAGATTATTGAACAGTTTTACCAAGTAGATGTCCAGCGTTTTTTCACAGCCCATGCCTGATCTCTTGTCCATGACCTCAAGCCTGCCTCTTGACTCCCCCTTTTTGCCTGATCCCTGCCTGGTACTGTTCATGTTTCTGACCCTTGGATTAAGACCTCATTTTTGCCCCTTGGACCTCGCCTTTTGGATTACGATTTGGATTTCTTACTGGATCTCTGACCTCCCGGCTCTGACCTTGGACCACTCCCTGGATTTCCAAAGCCAGCTTGCTCCCTCACTGGGTACTGAACCCTCATGGACCAACAACATCAGTGGACTTACCCAGTCCCCTTTGTCTGCCGTTGGGAGTCGTTCTGAATCCTAACAGTCTTGTCATACTGTGAGTGGTAACAGATGTGGAAGACTTCTCTAGATGAGACATGACATTTGACATAATGTTGCTTTCATAGTTGGATCAAAATGGTACAAATCTAAAGCTCTGGGATGAAATGAAAACTATACCTTTAATTACATTTCCATTTTGGGCCCAATTCTTTTCCTTCTATACAATCGCCCTCTGGCTTAGATTATCAAACATTTCCCTGACATCTCTTACCATTTCTACGCTGACGACCTGCAGTTATACTGCTCTTTTAATGACTCGACTTTCTACAAGCTAACCTCCCTCTTAAACCGTGTCTCTTAAATAAGTGGATGGCTGTCAGACAACTTGTTACTCCTTAACTTCAATAAAACAGAGACCTTGATCCTGGCCCCTGACAACAAACACCAGGAGATAAAAGACCATCTCAGCTCTTTAAGTTCAACCGCCTGAAAACATGTGTGCAACCTAGGTGTTTACTTTGACTCAGGACTGTCTCTTGACAAACATGTAAATAATCTGGTCTCCACCTGCTACTTCCAACTTCGCAATATTTCGAAGCTGCRGCCCCTGTTGTCCATTTCTGACCTGGAATTAGTAATTCATGCCTTCATCTTGACCTGCATAGATTATTGTAAAAGCCTGTCCACCTGTCTGAACCAGAAACAGATAAATCGCCTTCAGCTCGTACAAAACTCTGCAGCAAGACTCTTAACCCGAACTTCAAAGTTCTCACACATCTCCCCGATCCTTTCACAACTTCACTGGCTCCCTGTTCATTTTCAAATCAAGTTCAAAATCCTGGTCCTCACTTTCAGAGCTCTCAATGGCCAGTCGCCTGACTACATTTAAAAGTCTCATCTCCCCTTACAAGCCCAAACACAGCCTGTGCTCACAGGATCAACATCTCCTAATTGTTCCCCACACATGTCCCAAGACCCGAGGTGACCGAGGCTTCTCCTCCACGGCCCCCAGGCTCTGGAATGAACTTCCTATCCATCTGTGCACACTTTGATTCATTCAAGAAATATCTGAAAACACACCTCTTTAAACAAGCTTTTAACTAACTAATTTCAGCATTTTTCTGCAGCCTGACCTTTTAGTGTCTGTTTCACCAAACCCTACCTACTGACCGTACAATTCATCATATTAATATACTGTATGTCAAACAGCCAGTATTTTCATCCAAAATCAGTTCAATTTATCAAAAATGTATTTTCTAAAATGTACCTGTACTCCACAATCTACCCATTCAGAGACCGGCCTCCAAATTAATTTCTGATTTAAAAATCCCTCATCTTAATTAGGGCTGCCACGAACGATTATTTTAATAATCGATTAATCACCGATTATTTATTCGATTAGTCGACTAATCAGATCATACGTTAATAGAATATAAAACATACAGCTTATCGTGCCAGAATGCAGCTGCTATTGAATAACCATGGTTAGATTTTAGCTATATGCTAACTAAAAATAAYTGCTGTGGAAGGTAAGTTCTGCTCTGCATTCTCCTCAGCATTCTTTAGAGAAGAAGATTTCTTTACAGTTATTTAACTGAAAGCAACCAATTGTACATATTTTTGTGTTGTGGGGGAAACCAGAGTACCCGGAGAAAACCCACACAAGCACAAGGAGAATCTGCAGAATCTGCACAGAAAGACCCCAGGTCTGAACCAAGGATGGGACCCGTCAGTGCTAACCACTGTTAGGTTGATGACAATAGCTGCGTGCAACAATTCTTCAGACATTTTAGTTTGAGAAATGACGAATGTATGATCAATCAGTTCATCTGAAAACTGATGATCACACAACATGAAGACGAATAATCCCACAGCTCACTGACTTCAACAGCCTTTATCATTTGAACCTGCTGTAAAAGTTAAAAGACAGCAGAAAAGATGACAGAACATTCTGTTGAAAAACTTTTCCAAAATCCCAGAAACATTGTCTGTAACAAACCTGCCAATCAGGAGGAACTCTCCAGCGACCCCGAGCCTCCTCATGGCCAGGAGGAGCCCTCGGACAGTCATGCCTTCACAGAAACAGACCACCACCCTGGCTTTAGGGAGACGCTCTCGCAGCTTTCGGAGCAGCCTGTCGAAGTGCTTCTCGCCGGCGTTGCTGTAGATCTTGTCAGAATGAGCGATGCAGAGGCCGTCCTGAGAGGCGAGCTCTTTGAACACCTCCATCCCACTTTCACCATAGTTCCCTGAGGAAGACAAGAGGAGGGCTCAGGTGAGCGTCATCCAACAGAAGGAAGGAGAACATAAATGGGTCCATAACTTCCGTCTGCTCGACACAAACTCTATTCTCTGCATGGAAGAGTCATTTTATCTGCATTAAGGACAGTCTGTCTGCAGCATCAGGACCACAGCGTGGAGGAAACAAACATTTAGGATTTATCTCAGCAGCTCTTTGTCACTGAAAGAAAAGAAAACTTCATTTGTTTCCTGTCCGCCACTGGGAACTGTGGGAGATCATGTAACCATCTTTGTCTGTCTGTCTGTCTGTCTGTCTGTCTGTCTGTCTGTCTGTCTGTCTGTCTGTCTGACTGTCTGTCTGTCTGTCTGTCTGTCTGTCTGTCTGTCTGTCTGTCTGTTGTCTGTCTGTCTAACTGTCTATGTCT